CAACAAAGAACTTCCGGCAACCTTTTTATCATTTTCCTGAAGATGGGGAATTAGGATGGTTGGCTTCAGAAATGTGGTATGAGGATGACAGTTTAGGCCAATGGTTCTCAAAGGATGGTCCCAGGACCAGCAGCATTAGCATCACATGGGAACTTGCAAGAAATGCAAATTCTCAGACCCACCCCTCTCTTACTGAATCAGAAATTCTAAGGGTGGGGCTGGCAATCCAGGTGATTCTGATACACGCTAAAGTTTGATGACCAATGGTTTAGGTTCTTCCCCTAGGTCCTCATTTCCTAAGAGGGACAAAGTCACAGTCATCCTCTGCCTTAAGGATAGACAGAACAGGTATGTGGAAGCTCTTCTCCACACACCTGTTCTTGCCCCTCAAAAGAAAGGCAAAGGGACAGAGAGGACTAAACCTCACTGTTCTCTGGGTGTGTGTGTACGCGAACTGAGGGATAGGGAGGGAACATATTGCTCTTTTCCCGGGTACTACCCTCCTCACTGTGGAACAAGTTTAGAAAAAGTGGTGGTTATTGTGCCTGCCTCCTCAACCGGGGATGCAGTCTCCCTTCCCCTGTCGCAGCACAGGAAAGGGTCGAGGTGTTCTACTCTGCTTTTCCCAAGGGTATGGAATCCCCTTTCCCCACTTCTCTTCTGGGGTCATCTAGATCAGAACAGGGGTCCTCCTCTTCACGCTTCCTTCCTGAGGTCCTGACACCGGAGGGGAGGTCCAGTCTCTGCCCCTTCTCCAGGGTGTCCCGGGACCGGAAGGAGGGGTTCATCTCCTGCGCCCCTCCTCCCTGGGGTCTTGACACCGGAAGGGGGGGATTAATTCTGTCTGTCCCGCCTCCCCGGAGTCTCAGGACCGGAAGGAGTGGTTTCTTCTCGCCCCGGCACTTCCCAGGTGCTCACCTCGGGGGGCAGGTACGGAGGGTTGTTGGCTTTGCCCCCTCTGTTTCTTCCGTTCTTCTTCTTCCCCTTCGGGCCCCCGCAGCCGCTGCTGCCGCCGGCCCCCCTAGCCTTGAGGGTTCCGCCTACGGCCGGGCCCCCTCCGGGCCGGCAGCAGCCGCCGAACAGCTCCGATACCCGCGAGTCCATCCGCCGCTGCCGCCAGCCCCCCGCCCGACCCCTCCCCCCCGCCACCGCTGCCGCCTCCGCCGCCGCCCCTGCTGCCACCGCCGCGTCGGGCCAGCCGGAGGAGAGCGGGGTGGGGCCCTGCGCAAGCCACGCCCCCACCTCCCCTGGCCTCCGGGTCGCGTCAGAAACAGCCGCGGAGCACCACGGGATATAGAGTCCCCAAGCCTGAGACCTTGCTCAAAAGAGCTAGTCGCCGCCCTACAACTCCCAGGAGGCATCGCGGCGCGAGGCGCCGCGGCTGTCTTCGGGGGCGTAGGCAAGCAGCGCGCCTTTGCGCGCAGAGGCTTGAGGGAGCTGTAGTTTGGTTCCCAGTCCCCGCGCTCTGAGCGGGTCTTTTTCTGGGGCTTGGGAGGGAAGGTTAGAGCCCCGCGGCTTGCGGTGGGGATGGTCACCAGCGGCGAAGGGCTTACTTCAGAATCGATCTTTGTGGACGCTCCTGGGTTTGGCCCCTTAACGCGGATCCTAGACAACAGGTTTGGGACCTGGAGAGCTGCAGAATTCAGGGCTGCTGGTCCCTCCAGCCTGCTGGCTCCGCCTCTGCCTCAGTTTCTTCCCCAATGGCCCGCGTGCCGTAGGGGTGAGTCAGGGCAAACGCCAGGGCGGAGGCGGATGGTGGTTAGCCTAATTACAGCTGTTATTGTTGCGATGATTATGCCACCTTTGCACAGTAGTTACTGCTTTATTACCAGGCTGGCACCGTCCGGGGGCTGGTTTTAGCAGCCGGAGGCATCGCTGTGGCCCAGACAGGAGGCCTTTAAACCGGCTTGCTCCCTGAGGGCTGCAAGGATGCCCAAAGCGAGTATTCCCACTCCCTTTTGTTTTGAAGCAGAACCAACCAGGGAGAACCTAGTTTGATTTTTTAAACAGCCAGAACTGTAGGAGGGGCCTGGCCCCACTTGGGGCGGGGCTGGGGCTCCAGTTACATCAACCACCGCGATGACTTGGGGAAGTGACCAGGAATAGAAACTTGGCCTAGGGCCTCAGGGGATTGTTGACTTTTGACTTTCTTGCCAAGCCTTCTCTGCTGCTCTTTAGGGCTCTTGCAGGCAGCAAAGAGTAAATACACTCAGCGACTTAAACCAGTACACAAAAACACCAGAAAGGCAGACTGGAGAAGTGGTTAGCATTGCTGGTCTGGGAGTCAGGACGCCAGGGTTCAATTCACAGCCCCATAGCTGTCTCATGACTCACTACTCAACAGTGTGTCCACCTGCCCTCTCTTCACCAACAGCTAAGATCTCATACACTGCCAAGAAATTAAACAGCTCTTCCCTCAGACCTCAGTTTTCCTTGGAAAACAAGAAACAGCAACAACGACTTACCTCTGGTGATCCCTTCAGGGGTTCAGACTTGGTGGAGTCCATGATTTCCTCACAGGGCCCACAAGGAGGGAAGCAGGTCTGCTGATCCTGTAGTTGCTGTCCACGTAGCATAACTTTCCAACACAGTGAGAGCAGAAGGACCCAAATCTGCAAAAGAGCCTAGCAGACCCTATGCCAATTATGAGGGTCTTCAGTGGTTGAAAGCTTATATGACTTTTCTTAGTTGTGCTGTCAAGGAAAAGGTTATGCTGCAGAGGTCAACTCCTAAACAGGGGCACAGGCCTGCAGGGAAACCAGGGAAACTGCTGCTCAGAAACTGAGACTAGAGAACTCAATGAGAGATTCAAGAAGGATGGGGACTGGAAGCGAGAGATAAAACCATTACCCCAACATTCTCACCATGACCAGCTATGGCCCTCTTGATAACCAGCGCCTACTGCACTTGACTGATAACACTTGTCCTTTCATTTACATGGATCTTTCAACAACCAACCTCAACACACACTTCACTTCATCCATCCCAGTCCTCTTGTATCCTAAGTGTAGAACTTCTTTTAAGAGATGAGAGGAGTTAACCTATTCTGATATCCCATTCTTGAACAACCTGGCCTACCACAGACAGGAGTGAAAGCTAGCAGAGGAGCAGGTCGAACAGGGATGTCTGTCCAGGAGGAGATCAGCATCCTGGGGGATGGAAGGTGGTATATGTGTTGAGTTTCCTGGAGGAGTTGTTTATCAGGTACCTATGAGGTGGTTGACTGTGGGATATATATATCATGGATGCAAACATACATGCCACATGCAAACATTTTTCCTGGTATGTAATGAGTCATTTATTTTTATGTATAGTATCTTTGCATAAGTTTTAAACTCAGACTTAATCTTTCCCTATGTGCTTTCTTGGTTTTGTGTCATACCTAAATCCAACTCCACTCCTAGATTATGAATTATTCTCTAATATTTTATTCTAGGAGTTTTGTGGTCTATTTTTATATTTAGATCTTTAATACACACCCTCCCTGGGAGACCTTATCTGCTCCTATGCTGATGACTCTCAAACATATATCTCTATTTCAACTGACATTCCTAAATTCACTGTCCTGTGGAGACATCAAACTTAATCTATGAAAAACTGAACTCTTCGCTTCTCCTTACCCCCCAATAAATTTGGTCCTCTTTTAGCATTCCCTCCTTCATTGAATGGCACAATGGGTCATACAGTTGCTGAAGTCAGAAACCTACTTGCTTTGTTTTTTTTTTTGAGACAGAGTCTCACTCTGTTGCCCAGGCTAGTGTGCCATGGCGTCAGCCTAGCTCACAGCAACCTCAAACTCCTGGGCTCAAGCGATCCTACTGTCTCAGACTCCCGAGCAGCTGGGACTACAGGCATGTGCCACCATGCCCGGCTAATTTTTTCTATATATTTTTAGTTGTCTAGCCAATTTCTTTGTATTTTTTTAGTAGAGATGGGGTCTCGCTCTTGCTCAGGCTGGTCTCGAACTCCTGAGCTCAAATGATCCACCCGCCTCGGCCTCCCAGAGTGCTAGCCTACTTGCTTTCTTGGCAGTCTCTTTCTATTCTCCTCCTTAGATCAACCCCCAAATTATGCTCACTGGATCTCCTAAATATCTCTAGGATTCACCCAGTTTTCTCCAGCCCACTGTGACTACCCTACTTTAGGCCTCTTTCACCATGCTCTTGGGTAATTGCAGTCGCTACCTCTAACTGGTATCCCTGCCTTCTCCCTTATCCTCTCTGTAATCCAATCTCTACACTACAGCCAGTGTAGAGATTAAATTTATAAGATGTAAATTTAATCATGTCACCCCCGCTACTTTTAAGCCTTTCAAAGCTTCCCCATCCCCCTGCAGGATCAAGTTCAAACTCTAACATGGCCTATACTATCCTGCCATGATCTGGCGCCTATCTGTCTATTACAAACTTAACTCTTTACAATATGAACTCTTTTCATTCCTTGAACAGAAGACGCTCTTGTCTCAAGGTCTCCAGGAGCACTAGGCCTTCCTTTTCACCTTGCTGATTTACTCATCCTACAGGTCATAGCTTCACATGTTTCTTTTGGGACCACCCCTTCCCATCCCTAACCTTTCTGAGTTGGGTGCCCCTGCTCTTTCCTTCCACAGCCCGTGCACCATCCCACTGTAATTCATCACATGGTATTTTATCTATAGGCAGTGAACCCCTTGAGGACAGGGCCCACACCTGGCTTGTTCACCACTGAGTCTCCAGCACCTAGGACAGGGCCTGGCATTAAGTAGGTGCACAGTGAGCAGTGAATGTAGGAGTGAATGGATGCGTGACGGCGGGTGTTTTCTGGAAGGCAGTGCTCAGTGACTGAGAACGTCTGGCTTCGCTGACGGGTAAAGGGTAGGCGTACCCGCGCAAGAGTGTTAAGGAAGGAACGCTAAACTCAAATCCCAACTCTGCCCAGCCCCCACCGCACTGCGGCGGCGTCCCTCCCACTTCCGGCTCGCCTGAGCCGGAAGTGGAGGAGCGGGCTTCCCAGGGTGCCTCGCGGAGTGTTTATTTTAACCGCACGCAGAAGAGAGAGGAGGTCGTGATGGCTGCACCGGAGCCGGAAGTGCTCTCTCCGGCCGCAGTCCCGGGTAAGGCGTGGGGTCCAGATTTCGGGGAGACCTGGGGACCTGTTTTTTCCCTACTGCCGCTCCCTCCAGTCATTTAGCCCTTGGCTCTCTTTCAAGCCCGTCTTCCCTGCCTCCCCGGTATCCCCTTTCCGGCTATCCCCGTGACTCCATTGCCGTGGGTCGAGTTGGTTCACTCTCTGTCATCCTTTCGGCGTTCTGGATCCCTCTCGACTATAATTTCGACTCATTTCCCCAGATCAGAGCTCGTCGCTTTCTGAGCGGAGCCTTAGTCACTGCCTCCGAAATCCCACCACTATCTTTTGGAGGGGGTTGTGTTTTTTTTTGTTGTTGTTGAAACGGGGTGTTGCTCTGTCGCCCCGTTTATAGTGCAAAGGCACGATCATAGCTCACTGCAACCTCAAACTCCTGGGCTCAAGCGATCTTAGTACTTCAGCCTCCCGAATAGCTGGGACTACAGGCGCGCTCCACCACGCCTGGCTTATTTTTTTCTGTTTTTTTGTAGAGACGGGGGTCTCGCTCTTGCTCAGCCTGGTCTCGAACTCCTGAGCTCAAGCAGTCCTCCTGCCTGGGCCTCCCAGAGTGCTAGGATTACAGGCGCGATCCTCCGCGCTTGTGCCCCACCCGCACTGTCTTGCTGTCACTTCAATTATCCTAGGCAACAGGGATCAGGAATGTCTTACCGGCTCGGCCCACGCAGGAGGTTGCAGAGGATATGTGCTTGTGACAGGATGTCCCCTTCGCAGTGGTAGCTGCTGTGGTGGCTACAGGGAATGAGAAGACTGACTTTGGCCTTTAGATTTTTCATTTTTCTCTCTTGTCCCTCTGTTCACCTACCAGATTTGGAGTGGTATGAGAAGTCAGAAGAAACTGACATCCCCCAGATAGAACTACTTGAAACTACCTCTACCCAGGAACCTCCCAACCCTTCGGAACCCTTTTGCTCAAGAGACTGCATGGTACCAGTGGTGTTTCCTGGGCCTGTGAGCCAGGAGGGCTGCTGTCGGTTTACTTGCGAACTTCTAAAGCATATCATGTACCAACGCCAGCAACTCCCTCTGCCCTATGAACAGCTTAAGCACTTCTATCGAAAAGCTTCTCCCCAGGTAGGCAAAGGCTTTGGGAGAAAGTTGGTGGAAAGACTTCGTGGCTTCTTAGATGTTAGGCAGGTAGAAAAGGGGTCTAAGAAATCTTCAGAGCCTGTCAGCCTAAGCAGCTGTAGTCATATTTTCCCCACTCTAATCTGTGATAGTCTAACCCTCCCAGCTTTTTCTCTTGTTCCCTCTTTCTGAAACTCCTACTGTGTGTTGCATTTGCACTTTAAGAACTGGCTCTTTAAATTTTAGTTTTTTTTCTCTTCAGGTTTTCATCTCTTTGGTTTTTTGTTCTACTTTCTGGGGGGACTTCCTTGACTTTATCCTAACACTTCTGTTAATTTTTTCTTTTTTGACAATCATATTCTTAAGAACACTTTCTTAAGAATGCATTCTTTTTAAATAACATCCTGTTGTTTCATGTCTGTATGAACTTCTCTTACCTGAATATGTTAATTATTGTATATTTGAACTTTTTCTTTGTTCTTTGCAGTGTTTCTGTTTCTTCTAGAATCGTTTTCCCATTTGTTTGTTTTGGTCTCTGACTTTAATGTTCATCATGTGTCTGGTGAACATTTAAGAATAAATCACTGCAAGCTCTGTGTGCATGCCTGGGTCTTACGGGCTGATAGACTTCACCATATGGAGACTGGATGGGAACCCGGTGGTCTCTTTGGGGGGAACTGGCCAAACATGGTATTGGAGTCTTCCCTCTGGGTGGGTGAGGAATTTGGCAGATGGTCTAAGCATCCTCACACAGGTTTTCATTCATTTCCTTCCATGTTCACTCTTGCCTTCTGCAGGGCCTATATCACCAATTACTAAACTTTTCTGGGGTTCTGTCATGTGAATTGGTTTGCTTCTCACGGGGGTCGCCTCTGTCATCACTTGGTATTCAGCTCTCTTAAATTCTTAACTCTTCCATCTTGTTTTACCTGTCTTCCAAAACTTTGTGGTTGCCTTTTGCCAGTATTGTCTATTCCATAGTTCTCTTTCCTCTTGGGAGTTATCTTTCCCTCCCTTCCCTCTTCCTTTCTTTCTTTTTTAATTTCTTTGATTTAGTAATACGTGAGATGGAAGCACAAAAAACCATGTGTTCAACTTGCTGTGTTTAACTGGAAAAACAACTCCAGAATCTTTTTTTTTTTTTTTTTTTTGAGACAGGATCTCACTCTCGCCCAGGCTGGAGTGCAGTGGCTCAATCATAGCTCACTGTAACCTCTAATTCCTGGGCTCGAGCTATCCTCCTGCCTCAGCTTCCCAAGTAGCTAGGACTACAGATGTGTGCCACCATGTCCAGCTAATTTTGAAATTTTTGGTAAAGATAGTGTCTTACTATGTTACCCAGGCTGGTTTCAAACTCCTGGGCTCAAGCGATACTCCTACCTTGACCTCCCAAAGTGTTGTGATTATAGGAGTGAGCCACCACGCCTGGCCCAGAATCATCTTTATTAGACCAAATAATCTTCATTCCTCTTATCACTCCCTGTACAGTAAAAACGTGTCACCTTCTGCCATGCCTCCATATCTCCTTGAATACTTTAGTTGCTTATATTTGGATGCCCTCTAGCTTCAGAACACTGTCTTTGCTGTTTTAAATGTAGGAGAATTATGGTTTTATATTATACAAAGAATATATTTTCCTTTTCAATATAAATAATGTCCTCTGATAAAACACAATATCTTGGCTATGGCAATTCCTTGAGATAGAAATCCACTCCTGTAAGTCTGTCTATACATCCCAGCAGAGTTCTTCAAAGGGCATTAGCTTCCCTCTACCTTGTCCTCCTCTCCTATCATTTTTTGTCCTCACAGGCAGAGGAGGTGGTGAGGAAGAAACCTCGGGCTGAGGTGAGCAGCAGGAAATGCCAACAAGCCCTGACAGAACTAGAGAGTGTCCTCAGCCACCTAGAGGGCCTCTTTGCACGCACACTAGTACCACGAGTGCTGATCCTCCTTGGGGGCAGTGCCCTATGCCCCAAGGAATTCTATGAACTGGACTTGTCCCGGCTGGCCCCCAACAGTGTGGACCAGAGCCTGAGCACAGCAGCTTGTTTGCGCCGTCTCTTCCGAGCCATTTTCATGGCCGATGCCTTTAGTGAGCTCCAGACTCCTCCGCTCATGGGCACCATCGTCATGGCACAGGGACACCGTGACTGTGGGGAAGATTGGTTTCGACCCAAGCTCAACTATCGAGTGCCTAGCCGGGGCCACAAACTGACGGTGACCCTGTCCTGTGGCAGACCTTCCATCCAGTCAACAGCCTGGGAGGATTACATTTGGTTCCAGGCACCAGTGACTCTTAAAGGCTTCCATGAGTGAACAAGGGTGCTGCTTCATCCTGGAAACATGATGGCTGAATTGTCTTTCTCCCTGTGGCACTTGAGTCACCCACCTCTTGCTTGGAGCTAGAGTTGCTTCCTAGTAAGAGAGGAGGGTTCTATCCCGGCTGTCTGCCTCCCCTCCTCAGACTTCCTGGTAGGCTAATAGTGTGTGACTGTAATAATCATTGTTGAACAGCATCTCTGAATCAAAGGCTGATTTTCCCAGAGGGTGCTGGGTCAGGTGTTTCTGTTAGGAGTTGGAAAGCAAAGATGGGTCCATTGACACTCCTGTGGAGGTGGCCCTTTTCTGCTTTTTGCTATGCCTTTCAGAATTTTTACCAGGGTCATAATGTGGGTGTGACTCATGAACTTAAATATAAAATAAATTCCTATTAAATTTTAATGAAAATTCTCATCACCAAGAAATAGAGGCAAATGATTTTAAATTAAAAAAATAAATTTTGAAAAAGAAAAACAAAAAAATTTCCTGAAATTCTTTTGACTTAAAGAGACTTTTTAGGCTTGAGGCTTGGGTATTTGGTCTTTCTCCCTGGACTCTTCTCTGCTTTAGAGCTTCTGTGACTTTTTACTAAGGGTTTTTCTCTTCATCAGCCCCAAGCCAGTCTGGGAAGTGACTTGGCCAAGGTAACATGTAGTGTGACAGCAGATTTGGGACTACAGTCCTCATCAGTGAACTTCTAGCCCAGCGTTCTTTCCTTACCACATCACTGATCTTTGTGACCCTTAAATTCTGTGTCCCACCAAAGCAGAAGTCACCTTTGATGTGGGCAAAATTCTGGTAAGGAACTTAGCTTACCAGGCCACTCAATGAGAGCCCAGTGATTTAGGGGAACAGTCTAGCTGTGTGCTTGGTCTCCAGTAAACTGAGCAGGTGTGCTGAAAGAATGGCAAGAGAGGAGCTCCTCGTAAGACTTTTCACCCTCAGAGAGAGAACAGGCTACAGCATGTTCAGCAGACGGTCACCTGTAGCTTTGAGTGTCATAGGTGCTGCTAGTGGTCAGTCAGGACGGGAGAAAGCTGCAGTATATCAGTCTTAATTAAAGTGATTATTGATTAAACTCATGCCACATGCCAGGCTTGGGGAGCTGAGGCCTGGAATGAGGTCCTGCAGCCCCCGCCAGCTCTTCTGGGGCCTAAATGGTCCTGGCCTGTTCTGCCCTTCAGATCTGAGAAGCAAATGTCAGGGGAAGGGGGATGAGAAAAGAAAACAGAGAGTCTTTGCAAAACCTGATTGAACGGTAGGCAGAAGCATCTAGGATTGTACTGGGATCCTGTGGGATTCCTTTCGTGAGGCCAGATGTTTCTTCTGGAGTTCTGCCCAGCCTGTCTCTACTATAGCTGTTTGATGGCTGCTGGCAGTTACTGTTGGCAAAATTGTCCTTAGGCAAAACCCTGCCCTGCTGCCTGTGGCTTGACACCGTCCTGACAACCAAGTGTTGATGCTCTTTATCCCTGGGGAAGAGGACACTTGCTCATTTTATGGAAGCAAATTGGAGAATCCTCACCTTGCTGGTATTGGACATAGATGTTTGTATTTATGTATGTATAAGTGGAGACAGTAGTACATACATTGCAAGGCTGTTAGATTAATGTATATAAAGTGCTTGACACATAAAATACATACTTGTTTAGTATATAACATATATACTATATTTTAAGCACTTAATACATTATCTAATCTTAACTTTGCAATGTATGTATTGTCCCCATTTTGTAGATAAGGCTTAGGGAGACTGAGTAACTTGCATAAGTGGTGAAACCTGGATTTCAATCTGGTCCACCTAGCTCCAGAGGCTGAGTACTCTACACTGCTGCAAATCCTGTGTGCTTTTGCTCTACAATACTTAAGCCAGGGTGTGCCCTGCCAAAGGTGTTAGCATTAGGAAGCTGCATGATCCCCCTCTCTGGCTTCAGATTCTGGTACCTGACGTGGAGACTGCCATTAATAAGTGGTGAATAAATACAGAATCAATGAAGACATCGAACTCTTTTCTGTGCTATGACCGCTTGAAATATATTTTACCAGCCAGAATTTTGATTGGTTTTCTGTCTGATGCTCTATCTTACAGAAGGGGAATTGGGCCATATCTCCTACTTAAGGAAAGGAAAGGCTGAAGGGGTCTGCCTAAAGGGAGTAGGGGAGTTGTGAACAAGGAAGTTACAAGTTTTTTGAGATGACACATGAAGCCAAGTCAACTCCCTGAAATACTAATTTTAAAAGCCTTCATAGGCCGGGCGC